AGTCCCTCGCAAGTTGTTCTTGGAAGAAGCGGAGCCTCTCACGCGGCAGCTTCCGAGCTTCCCGAGCTGCCTCCCTCCTGCCGGGGTGCCTGGGTCAGAAGCTGCTCTCAAATAAAGACCTGGGTCAGGAGCTGCTCTCAGGAGATGATTTTAGGAAGCAGGAAAGAGTGAGAAGTGAGACACAGGCAGGGAGGAAACACCAGACACAGAGGCACATCAACAGGGCAGCTTGCAGGAAGGGGACTTGATTCCTCCCGGTGCTGGAGGGGTGCAAAACGTGGCCCCAGAGGTGCACCCCCGCTGCCAGCCCACTGTCGGGGGCTGACCCAGGCAGCGCCTCTTCCTCGCCTGTGTGGTCACGGGGGCTTCTCCCCGCCACTTGCTGGAGAAGACCTGCGACAGAGACTGAACAGACTGTGCTGGCCACTTGAGGGCGCTCACGGGGAATGGTGTGGGGTGAAGCACAGAGCATTGGCTGTACTTGGATTCAGGTTCGGCTTTTTGGTGCGGCCTTTGACCAGAAGGCATGCATGTCTGACCATCTCCCTTTTGGGTTGGCATTACCATTAGGACTGTGAAATGGCAGTATTTTAAATTTTTTATTTATTTTATTTTTGGCTGCATTGGGTCTTTGTTGCTGTGTGCGGGCTCTCTCTAGTTGCGGCGAGCGGGGACTACTCTTCCTTGCTGTGTGTGGGTTTCTCATTGCGGTGGCTTCTCTTGTTGCGGAGCATGGGCTCTAGGTGCACGGGCTTCAGTAGTTGCAGCACGCGGGCTCAGTAGCTGCAGCACACGGGCTCAGTAGTTGTGGCGCATGGGCTTAGTTGCTCCGTGGCATGTGGGATCTTCCTGGACCAGGGCTCGAACCATGTCCCCTGCATTGGCAGGTGGATTCTTAACCACTGCACCACCAGGGAAGCCCATTAACTCTATATTTCTTCTTCATGTATTAGCTGGAATATTCACAAAGAAAACGGATCCCTCATCACGTCTTTGGTTACCCTGCGATGCGGTCTGTATACAAGGCCAGGTGGATGAAGGGTTTTCTCCCATCATCTACCAGGTTTGAAAATGACAAGTTGGTTCCTCAGAGCCCTACAGCAACACCATGTTGGGTTTTTAAGCAGCATATGTATTTGTGGTTTAAACACATCTGGTGTATTTTAACCTGCTGCCGCTCTTATTCTCTTTGATGCTTAGTGGCCCGCATTTGGCTCCTGGCTCCTGGCCACGGCAGCCTGTGTAGCGCCTTTGCTTCCTGTGGCCTTGTTCGTGTCTTGACCCACGTCCAGGCGTGCCCAGCCATCTTCCCGGCCTTTGAACACGTGGGATAGAGTTACAGGAACCGTTTTAATGCCTGTTCGACCGGTTCTGGCATTAGCGTCAGCAGTGCGTCTGCCTCAGTGACTGACTTCCGCCCCCACTGCGAGTCGCAGGTCCCTCCTCTGCTCGCCCGGTGAGTGGGACTGGACCCCAGACGCGGGGCACCGTCCTTGTCGAGTGCCTCCCCCTCACGCTTTGTCCTGGCTGAGGTGGGGTTCCTGGACACACTTGGTCCCTTCCATGCGTTTCCTCAGCAGGCTGACGGGGGCTGTCTTTCTGCTGAGGCGGTGATCTTCCGGCCTGGTGCCTGGCCCCCACGGCTCCTGGGCTGGCAGGACACGCCCAGCCCTCTGTGACCTCCCAGAGCGTCTCTCCTGGCGCCTCTCAGGGGTTCTACGTAGCCCCGGGCAGCTTCCTCCACGCACATCCCTATCAGGGCTCGGCCTGGACTTGGCACCCTCTGCCCAGCTCTGGAGCGCCCTCCGGACAGGCCCTCCCCTCTGGCCCCCCGCCCTGCAGCCTCCAGCACTTTGGCCTCTGGTCGTTGGCTCGCTCCATTTGTCCCTCTCTGTCGGGAGTCATGGCCTGCACTGCCTGATGCGGTCCAGCGTTTAGCTGCTTCCGGTGGGAGGGTGAGCTCGGACCCTCCACGCACATGCTGACCTCAGGCAGCGGAGGCCGGAGGCCGGAGCCACCTGCTTGTCGTGGAGCTTTGGCGTCAGTGTTGGCCACCTGCCTTGCTGCGCTGCTGCGTCCCCCTCTGTGCTTTATGAGGGGTCCGGGGAGACATAAGTCCTGCTCCTGGCACCACCTTCATGGAAGCCACGTGGATTTCTAACACAGGCAGGTACGTGGAATGCATAGTAGGAACCCCGCATTCTGGGTATGCGGTGGCAGGGGCTGAATACCCTTTTCTCCATCTTGCCCATCTTAGTGGTGTGCCCTGGACACCGTCCTGGAGGAGACCCCATGACGGCATGTACAGGCGTCTGGCGCTCCTTTTACAGCTGCAAGCCCCTGTGTGGAGGGTCAGTGGTTTATTAAGGACTTGCACCTGATGCCACGTGGACCGTTCCAGTTTTTTCTATTACAAATTATGTTGCAATTAGTAGCCTCATTCATGAATCTTCTGCATTTTTGCCAGTGTATCTTTGGGATAAATTCCTACTTGGTGATTGCTGGGCAAAGGATAAATGCCCACATCATTTTGCTGGATATTGTCCATCTCCCCTCTGTTCCCACCAACAATACATGAGATGAGAGTCTTGCCAACAAGGGAGGTGGTCAAGCGCTGGGGTTTGTTGCCAGATTGGTCAAGAGAGGCCTCAGGAGATATCTGAGCACAGGCCTGAGTGCGGGAGGAGCCATGTGGGCGGCCAGGGAGCGCCACCCAGGCCTGGGAGCAGCTCAGCCGTGGCCATGAGGTGCGAGGGCCCAGCATGTCCAGGAGGGCCGTGGACGCCAGGCCAGAGCGGGGGCAGGGCCCAGGCCCGAGGCGGGACCTCGGGACGTGGAGCAGCTGCTGGGCTGCTGAGCAGAGGCGTGCTGCATGCTGACCCAGGCGTTGAGGGGGTGGCCCACTGGCTGCCCTGTCCGCGAGAGACCGGGGGTCGGGGGCGGAGGCTGTGACACCAACCCAGACGGGACAGGTGGGCTCGGGCCGGGGCAGCAGCCGCTGCAGAGGCTGAGCACCACGGCTGCATTAGGCAGGTTTGAAGATAGAGCTGAGAGGACTTCCCCATGAACTGGCTGTGGGAAAACAGAAAGAGAGAAATCAGGCATGAGTCCAAATGTTTGTGGCCCAGCAGCAGAAAAGATGGCACGCCGTGGGCTGAGACGGGCAAGTTCACCATGTGCAGTCCACTGAGGGACACAGCGGTGCACAGACGCCAGTGAGAGCGCTGGCCAGGAGCGGCTGCAGGGAGGGGAGGGGAGGCCGGCTCGGGGGCAGAACACGGGGCAGTGGGCCAAGGGGAACGTGTTTCCAGGAGAAGAGAGCAGCACGGAGGGGCAGAGATGACGATGGAGGCAGTCCACAAAACCTGGGGAGACCTGGACCAGAGCATTTTCCTAGGGGAAGGCAGAAGGCTGCAGGGTTAAGAGATGAAACAGGGAGGGAAATTGGGGCGGGCGAGTGTAGACAGCACTTCTGAGGAGTCGTGCTATATGCAAAGACGAGCAGAGCAGCTCTAGGTCAAGAGAGAGCCTGTTTGTTCTGTTCTGTTGTTCAGATGGGCAGCCTCCCCGGAATGGCCCACCAGAGGGTAAGGGGACACAGGTCCATCGGAGAGGGGCAGGGAGGAGGCCCCCGGGGGTGGCTAGGAGGCAGAGGAGCGAGGACCGCTCGCCCTCTGGGGAAAGGGGAGGCGTGGGCGTGGTGGGGTGGGGTCACCTCTCACTGCTTCTGTCCTGGCTTCTGGCTCCTTCTTTTCGTTCCGCCCTATGGGGTATATCCACACAAGGTCACCTGTAGACTTCAGTGAGTTCTGACGCATGTACACAGTCAGGAGCTTGTCACCACCACCAACACAACACACATTTCCATCATCCCAGGTGTCCTTGGGCCCCCGTCACCTCCACTCTTACGCTTTTGCTCTGAGCGAGGCCCCTGGACAGTTTCGGGCAGAGGAGGGACATTCCTTGGCTAATGTGTTATGAGAGTTACTCTTTCACGTTAAGAATAGATTTGGGGCCCAAGGACAGAAGCAGAAGGCCAGTGCTGAGCTGATTCTCCAGCTGGGGGAGGTGCTTGGCCTTGGGCCGGGGGGGTGGGGGTGGGGGTGCCATGGCAGATTCTGAGGGGTCTACTGACAGCCCACGTCAGTAGAGCTTGCAGGCAAGGACCCTGGTGCCTCGGCTCAGCAGGCAGGAAGGAGCCCTGCCATGGGGCTGTGGGAAGGCCAGGGGTTGACCTTCTGACATCAGAGCCTGAGTTCCCTAGAGATATCCCAGCAGAGATGTGGCCAGGCAGCTGGACACCGGAGCCCAGAGTTCAGGGTCAAGGTCTGGGGTGTTGTCACCGATGAGGTCACCTAGGGAAACAGGCGGGCAGCACAGATGTCTGGTGTGCATCCCCAGCAAGAGGCCCTAGGCCTGGAACGAATCTGGAACCGTTGCCACGCCTCACACGCCTGCTCCTGGCTCTGCCCCATTTGCAGACCGGTGGCCACGGTGTCACAGGGTTGTCAGGTGACTTCCTGGGGCCACTTTGCCCTCAGCCTAGGGCTGCTCCCACTCTGCTGTCCCCTGGGCCTCCACTTCCGACCTGGGTCACCTGAGCTCCCATTGTACTGGAAAACAGAAGCAGCTAGAAGAGACCATGCATCAGGGTCTTCCCCTCCCCCCCAACGTGAAGGGCTACCAACTGCCCCCTGCATCCAGTCCCCAGTCCTAGGTGGGGACCTCGGCTCATGCAGCGTGGTCATTCTCCCCCTGTACCCAGTCAGCACCACTGAGGTCACCAGGGCTCCAGCCCAAATAGCAAACTGTCTTCTCCTCCTGGCCTCCGAGCCCCATTTGTGGCTTCCATCTACAACCTTGAAAAGTTGTCTTATATTTGCCCTCCTCCTTTGAGCAATCTGTTTTCACCCCAACAATGCCTCCACACTGCACTGGCCATGGCCCCGGAGGGGCCTCACTACCCTCATCCCTCCAGCAGCCAAATGTACATCACTCACCCCTGGGGTCCTCTTCCCCAGTCTGCTCCATCTGGGTCTTTCTCACTGGCTCCTCCTGGACTCCCAGGTTTCTCCACCGGGAGGGCTGCAGGGGGCTTGGTCCTCCATCCCTCACTCGCTCCCTTGACCATCTCATCATCTCCAGACACTGCAAGCTCACACTGCACTCCTGCAGCCCCCAGCCTCACAGCAGTCCCAGTTGGGGGTCTAGCGACATCACCTCCCCAGGTGGTCAGCAGCTGCCCACCCCTGCCTCCTCTCAGCAGTCCCACCCTTCTCGCCCTCCAGGGCACCACCAGGTGTAGCGCCCTGGCACCCCTGCGCTGCCTCCTGGTCCAGCCTCGCCCCCGCAGACACAAGGCAGCGGGACGCCAGTCCCGTGCCCACAGTCCTCTGCTCAGACAGCCCAGGCACCTCGCATCTGACCTCATCTCCAGCCTCTCTGTGCCCTCTAGCTTTGGGGCTGGTCTCTGGAAAGCATCCTCCACAACCCCCTCCTACTTCGGGGCCTGAGGCTGGCTGGACTTACTGCCTGTGAACCGGCCCCATCCCCAGACACTTGCAGGACTCGCTCCCTGCGTCCCTTCCGTGCCCATTCACTCTATGTAACCAACTCCGGACACCCACTGCCTCCCCCACCCGGCTTGTTTCTCACAGGACACCGCATTTACGTTCTCCTCTGTTATTCCCGCCCCCCCTCGCAGTGCGGACCCCACGAGGGCGTGGACGTCACGGTCACTGCTTACAGCTCCAGGGCGGGGCCTGCGGAAAGCCGGAAACAGGGACGAGCTGTGGGGTCAGCCTTGTTGTCTACTGTCCGGGAGCCCGGGAGGCAGGTTCCCTGTCTGAGGCGCCCCCGCTCTTGCCTGGTGCTAGCTCCCAGGAAGAACAGGAATGCAAGAGCAAGACCGCCTCCCTCGGAGGAAACCCCTGGTCCCGGAGCGCCAGCTGCCTGCAGGTTCCAGGGTTCCGCAAGCCGCTCCCCCTCCTGGCGCAGCGCCAGCCGACCACGCCCCGTCCCCGCCTCGGCCCCGCCCCCAGGCTAGGGATCGCCCTACACCTCCTCGAGGCCCCGCCCCACCTCTGGCCCCGCCTCCCCGACCCCTCACAGGCCTCCGCGCGGAGCCCGGCCCCGGGGCTCTCTAGGTCCCTCTCCCTCTGACCCCGCCCCCTGTCCCCACCCACACCTTCTGACCACGCCCCCTCCTAGGTCCCGCCGCTGGCCCCCTCGCCTCTCCAGGTCCCAGGGCCCAGCCCAGCCCGGACGCGCCTGCGCCCTCTGACCACGCCCTGGCCCCCGCCCCGGGACCCACCGACTCCAGGCCCCGCCCCTGCCCCGGCTGCCGGGTGGGAGCCGGTCCGCGCAACGCGCATGCTCCAAGAGCGACGCCCCCGACTCTGCGCTCGGCTCTGCTCGGGCATTTCCGCCTCTTTGTTTTAAACTCCGGACGGATTTTTTTCTCCTGCTCTTGGGGGGGACCCGGAGGGAGCGGCGCCCCCTCCCTCTCCCGGCGCGGCCCCCGCGTGCGCCCCGCTCGCCCGCAGCTGAGACGGCAGGTCAGTGAGTCCGCGCCCCGCCCGGCCTGGCCCGCGGCGCTCGCTACACAGGCCGCGGCCTCGGTCCGTGTCCGGGCCCGGAAGGCTCCGAACCCCGGCCCGCGCCCCTGCGCCCTCGTCGGCCCGGCCTGCGGATCCCCGACTCCGTTCGGCGGGGCCGGGACCCCGGGCAGGGCCCGACCTCGGGACCGGTCTTCGGGGAGGGACCAGGGAGGACTGGACCCCAGGACGGGTCACCGGGGAGGGACCAGAGAGGACCGGACCCCAGGACGGGGAGGGACCAGGGAGGACCGGACCTCAGGACGGGTCACCGCGGAGTGACCAGGGAGGACCGGACCCCAGGACGGGCCACCGCGGAGTGACCAGGGAGGACCGGACCCCAGGAATGGCCACCGCGGAGGGACCATGGAGGACCAGACCCCAGGACGGGTCACCGGGGAGGGCTGGACCCCGGGACCCAACAAGAAAAGGACTAGGAAGCACTCACTGTACCCTGAGACAGATCACCTAGGAGAGCCCAACCCTGATACGGGTCATGGAGGAGGGTCCAGCCTCACTATGGGTCACGGAGGAGGGCTGGAACCTTAAGACTCAGCAGGAATCAGAGAGAGCTGGACCCGAGACAGGTCACCGAGCAGGGCCAGGACCCAGGAACAGCTGGGACACTGGGACAAGTCACTGAGGAGGCCTGGACGTTAGGATGGGTCACCTGGGGAGGTCTGGACCCCTGGACTGGCCCCCAGTAGGACCAGAATTCTGGAAGCATCCTGTGAGCACCTCTGGGACCCTGGGACAGCCCCTCTTTCCCAGGAGGCCATGACCCTGGGACTGTGCCATGTGAAGGGCTCTTGCCTTGTGACAGGCTCCAGGGATGACCCAGGTAGGTCACGTAGGAGAGTCGGATGTTGGGGCAGCCGTGAAGAAGGCTGGCGCTCAGAGAGGGCCACAGCTGTGATAAGAGCTGGAACTTGGAGTCAGGTCCCCAGGGAGGCCAAGGCTCTTGAATGAGTCCCTGAGAAGCACTCAGACCCCAAGGGTGGTATGTAAGGGGCGCCGGGACCTCAGGCTGGACCCCCAGGGGATTGGGCCCTGGGGCAGGTTCCAGAGGTGCCCAGAATCTACCCAGCCCACTCAGCTGGACCTGGCTTCTATAAAGGCTCTGGAGCATCAGGGATCCTGGTCACCTGAGCCCCACAGGTGCAAACCAGCCCTCTCCGTGAGGCCCCTGAGCACCTGGGCCTCACAAACCTTCTGACCTTCAGCAGATGCTGCCTGGGCTGGGCCCTGGGGTAGGCAGGGTTGAGGCCCATCCTCCCAGCTCTGGGGACTCAAGTGGGGGTGGGGGCTCATAGTCCCCACTGGCTCCGTGCCCCAGGCCAGTGCTTTGCCCCTCCCCAGACCCAGAAAGCTGTCCCCTACCCTGTTCTCCCAGTCCCTGCTCCAGGGCTTCCATCCTTTCTTTACCTGGGCCCTGTGGTCAGTGTCAGGCACCTTCAACCACTCCTGTCCTCCCCTCCCTCCAGTGGTGTTACCAAAAGAGTCCCATTCTCAAGGTCTGGAGGTGTTTTCTGTGTCCAGGAATTTCCAGGAGGGGTGGGGTCCAAGCTGGGAGTGTGGGCTGCGGGAAGGGTTTGGAGCCAGACGGCCCAGTGCGTGTCAGGTGAGCCATCAGGCACCTCCTGCACTCCAGGAAAGGACCTTGGGATGGGAGCTTTGCTTCTCTGAAACCTTCGAAGCAGACTTCATTTAGATCTTGCCTGTGTTGTCCTTTAATTTGGAAGTGGGGATGGAGAAGTGCTGCCCTTTGGCTGGGGAAGGGCTCCAGAGTGTGTCCAGTAGGATAATGTTGGAGGAGTTTGAGAGGATGGAAAGCCCAGGCAGGCACTGGTTCCCTGGCATGGGGTGGGCGTGCAGCACATTCATTGCGTGGACGAAAGGCGGGAGTGCTTTCAGAAAGGTCGACCTGTGTTAGGGTGAGGCACGACTCTAAACTTCCCAAGGGAGATGCTTGAAGTGGTCAGTTCAGTATTTCATTTTGTGCCATAACTTCACTTGTTGATTACTTAGGAGAAACCCCTTTGCATTTTCAGTGTAACATTTCACTGTAACTAAGCTTAAGCGCATGGAGCCCCTGAATAGTCCAGCCTATTTTGATTTGTCAAATGTAACCACACTTGCGACCTTGTTACTCAGTGCTTGGTTTTTCTGTGTGTGTGTGTTTTTTTGTTTGTTTGTTTTTTTAATTTATTTGGCTGCCTCGGGTCTTAGTTGCGGCATGTCTTAGTCGCGGCATGTCTTAGTTGCGGCACGCGGGATCTTTCGTTGCGGTGCGCGGGCTTCTGCCTAGTTGTGGCCCGCGGGCTCTTGGGCTCGTGTGGGCTTAGTTGCCCCGCAGCATGTGGGATCTTAGTTCCCCAACAGGGATCGAACCAGCGTCCCCTGCATCGGAAGGCGGATTCTTAACTACTGGACCACCAGGGAAGTCCCTGTGGGGTTTTTTTTTTTTTTTAACATGTACTTTGCTTTTTAAAAAACTTAATTTGCTTTGTGAAGCTTTGGGAAAGACTTGTAAAACTGGGCATTCAGGTTTGGTTAGGCTCTTTATTTTCCCATTTTTGGATTTCTGAAGGTGTGATAGTGCTGGATGGTTGTATTGTTTATATATTACTGTCCCGCAAATTACCCCAAAGTGTAGTGCCTTAAAACAGTACCAGTTATTATGTCACAGTGTCTGTGGGTCAGGAGTCCAGGCACAGCTTAGCTGGGCCCAGGGTCTCACAAGGCTGCCGTCAGGGTGCCCACCGGCGCTGTGGTCTTGTCTGGAGGTTCATCTGGGGAGGATTTGCTTCCAGGCTGCTGGCTGGAGACATCTGTGGGGCAGCTCAAGGGCCAGCGACAGGACAAGGGAGCAAGCAGGAGGCCACAGTCTTCATGACCTAATCTTGGCAGTGATATCCCATGCCTTTTGCCATATCCTTTGTTAGAACCTAGTCATCAGGCCCAGCCCACGCTTAAGGAGGAGGAACTCCACAAGGGTGTGCTTCCTGGGCGGGGTGGGTCTGGGCCATCCTAATGCCTGGCATTGATCAGGTGGTGTTAGCTCCTGAAGGGCCTGTGCCTGAGAAGTGCCCTGCAGGTGAATGAACAGAATTGTGTAGAGCTGTGTGCTCAGCCCAAGGTTGCAGCAGCTCAGCTGTCTCTTTAGTTACACAGGTTGCTCTGATGTCACCATTGTGATGATGGGATGACGCCGGAGCTTACGCATGACAGGAGAGAAATTACAAATAAGAAAGCTTTTTAGGAATTAACTTAGAACAGCTGTAGCAAGCCATAAGCTCCCCCGCTTCCCACATACAATTAAATTGTAGGTGTGTATGTGTCGGTGATATAGAGTTCTTGGAAGCTTCAAGTACAGCGATTTTAGTTGTTTCTAGAGCTTCATTTTATTCCTGCTAATTATTTTCCTCCAGAAATGATCAACTGACATTTGTAAGACGTTTTTAAGATGTGAGATCCCAAAATGTTTTTATTTGACCTTTGTAGGGAAGGATGCTCCAGGAACCTGTGTGCAAGGGCCTCTTGTGCTCAGCCCTGTGGCTTCTCCTCCCCGGTGCTTGGACTTTGTGGCGCTTGGGGTGGCGCTGCAGCACAGGGCTGTGAAGGGCACCCCGTGCA